GCCTGCCCCAGCAGGGGGAGGGCGGCGGCGAGCGCGGGAGGGCGGCCCGGCGCCGGGGAGAGGGACCTGAGGGGAAGGGGACTCACGCTGTCTCCGCTATTTAAACCTCTTCCCGCCGCCTCCGCCTCACTGACTCTCACTCACTCTCTCCTCCCCACGGAACTTACTAGGGGCGGCCCCCTCCCCTCCCCAGCCAATATACACACAGCCACACGCCGGGCCGCCGCCGCCGCTGCCCCGCCCATCCTCCCCAGACGCGCCATACATTCGCTCAGCTCTCTGACCGTCAGCAGGGCGGCGCCACAGCGTTGGCTGGGGACCCTGCCAATCAAAGCGCCCTCCGCCCTGCCTCCCTCGGGCTCCGCCCCTCGTCCCGCCCCTCCCCTTCCCGGACACCTCAGGGGTTTTAAAACCGGCCGTTTCAAGTCACCATCAAAATTTACTTTTAGGTCCCACCTACTGAGCTCTAGCGAAGGTTCTGATTGGAGGACGGGAAAACCCTCTCTATCGCGACCGGGTGGCTGGATGTCCATCACCCCCCAAAATCCCGCCTATCTCGATGCCGTAGTTCCACTTGATTTGTCCGCACATCCAGGCGGCCCCGCCCATTTCCACATCGCTGCCCAATCAGGCGCGGCTTCTCAAGCTCTAAGGCGGTGTCAACGCTCACGAACGGAACGTGCGAGAGGGCGGCCTTCATTGGTTGGTGCCCCTCGCCCCGCTGTTGCTCTTCCACCACCGTCCCGCGGAGGGGGGGGGGGTGGGGGGCGGGCCGGGGGCGGGAGCGAGCGAGCGCCGTTGGTTCGTCCCGTCTCCATTAGGGATGGGGCGGAGGAAGGCCTTTATTGCCCGTCATGCCGCGCGCGCTGTAGGTAGCTCCCTCCGGTCCGGGCTGGGGGAGGGCGGGGGAGGAGGGGGAGGGAGGAGGTTGGTGCCTAATCCAAGATGGCGGTGCAGGAATCAGCTGCTCAGCTCTCAATGACTTTGAAGGTGCAGGAGTATCCCACTCTCAAGGTGGGTGCCGAGCCTCCCCCTCCTCTCCCGGCACGGGGGAGAGGGGTCAAGCCGCTGGTGTCCCGCCGGAGCAGCGCCGAGGGGGAGATGAGGGCTTGGCGAGGCGGGCGCCCCGGCCCCCCTTCCTTCCCGCTCCCCGCCTCAGGAGCCCCTGGGTCCCCCGGCGTTGCGGGGTGGGGTGGGGGGATTCCCGCCACACAGGTGCCCGCCCGTCCCCGTTTTCCTCTGCTTGACGTCTCGGCTTATGCCGGTGCGGCTTCTCCTCTTCCCCTCCCCCTCCGCTGAGGGTGAGGGACGTGCCTGGAATATGCTGCTCTCCCCGGGTGTCTCCGTGCCCGGAGGTGAAGGGGGAGGCCCCCGGGCCACACCAGGGACAGAAAAAGGGTCCTTGAGAGCTGGAGGAGTTGGCCGAGGAGGGAGGGGAGAAGCCAGGTCTTTGGGGCAAGGCGAAGCTGTGGTCGTAGGGGGGATGTGAGGGGAGGAGAGGGCTCGGACGGAGTCAGGCTGGGGGAGAGGGTCTAGGGGCGTGTGAATGATGGCTCAGGAAGACCGAGGGTTGCTTTAAATGCTCATCCCAGATGATGAGCTGAATCTACGTGGCGTTGTTAGGAGACGTGTGAAAGGGGAGGGAGTGGGGGTGGTAGTAGAATATGGTTCCCTGGCTTCTTGGTCCCCCAAAGATGGAGATGAGCTTAAAATATAAAAAGGGACAAATGTACTGGAACAGGCTGGAGGCCTGCAGAGGCAAATAAGCGAAATACTTACGGTTTGGTGAAAGCATGGGGTGTTCGCTAAGGTACTGGGTCTATCTGAAGGATGGTGGTTTCCCCAAGACTGCGTAGCTGGTCTTTGGCTTTAACTAGGTATTGTAAAGCAAATGAAGGACTCGGTACTGAGCGTTCAGGTCATCGCCTCTAAGTATTGTTGAACTGGAGGAATGATGCTCATAGGAATCAATGGAAACCTTTGTTTGAAGTAGTGTTGTATATACAGTGGGTCTACCACATGAATAGCAATAACTGTGGAAGGGAGCTAGGAGAAGGATCTCTATTGCAAAATGCTTATTTAAACATCTCTCATGTCAGTGTATCAACATTTTTTTCATCTACAGAAGATGTTTATTCAAAGTAAACTTTGTTGTACTGAGATCGTGCTGCGCTTTCACACACTGAGTACTGTGTGCTCTTTGCAGTGTTTGTTTTGCAGCCTTTCTAGCCATGTTCTTCTTGTGCATGTCCTCCACTCTCCTAGATTCATTCTACTTAGGTCCAAGAAGCTGAAGGACAAAGTGTTGATTCCCGTTTTACATATGAAGGCTTCTTTCTATCATCGTGAAGTACTGTAAAGCTGACAGCATCAGGCTTAAATTTTGAAATAGCTGTAAAGAGCGCTCTAGCACTTTCCACAGCCGGAACAGTGTGAAGGCATTTAATGTTAAGAAGATCATTTTAAGACTGCATTTTAGATGTATTCCAGTTGTTATCACAGTTTTGCTGGTTACATTCCTGAAAAATTACTGGCAGTGAGGATCCGCGAGTTTTTGTTTTGCTGCTTATGACTTAAGATGAATTGTCAAGGTGCCAGCCATTTAAAAGGTAGAGAATATTTTGGACTGATTCTTTTATTTCCACAAGCATTCTTTTTCCCTGAAAAATCTTAACACAAATATACATAAGAGAATGGAATGTTGTTTGTAAAGTTGGGAAGCTAAATAGTAAGAGGGTGAGATGCTCTTGCACTGAAACTCTTAATTTCCTAGCAAAGGTGATGTTTATTGATTCTTCCCAGCACCCATTCAACTTCTGGGTTGTTCCTGTAATCTTTAATAGCATTTTTCATTGTTTAAAAAACCTGCCAGAACAGTGTCTGCTCAAATCTTTTGAATGCATCTTCTTAAATTTTCTTAACTGTGAGTCATATATCAAAACATTTTAGTGGTGGAGATGAAAAAGCAGCAGGGAGAAATGAACACTAAGGCTAAAGTCCACTAAAGTCAGTTTGATATCAAATCCCATTTTGTTCATTAGGAAGCAGGTGCCTAAAAGTTTCTGTGGGACTGAGCCTCTGTGAATTTTTACTTCCGGTTTATTCAAACACTGTGTGAAATGAATGTGTATCACTTATTTTTTTAAATTTTGTCCACCAACACAGTAGCTCAGATATTTCTCTTGGAGCTCTGGACACTGGTGATTTTCCCTGATGTGAGTAAAATATAAAAGATTGTAGACTTGTATTTATATCCTTCCTGTTTCCTCCCTTTAGCTTCCTCATGCCAACACCACTAGATAATAGTTGTGTAATAGCTCTACATTTACAGTATGTTCCACAGAGTGCCTTTCATGTGAAGGAGTGCTTAAAACTGCAAAGGGAAATCCCTTTTCCATAGCTGAATTGTGGTTGCTGCAGGAGTGGAAATGCTTCAGCCATTCTTGCAGCAGTTCAGCTCAGGGGGAAGTAAATAGACTCCTTCAGCTGAATCTAGGGAAGCTATTTAAGTGTACAAAATAATACTTGAATATTCCCCCCAACTCCAATCCCTTCTCCCTTCTCAAGGACAAGAAGGTTGCCAGCTATTCTTCCTCCAAAGTGCTGTGGAATCTTTTTTTTTTTTTTTTTAAAAAAAAGGCCTACTGATAGAGAATTATGCTAGTCTCATCTGAGAGCATGTAATGTGAAAGCTGGCAATCTAAAAACGAATGAATGTGAACATTGTTATCATAGTTCTTTGCTGAGATGCTAATAAACAAGTGATGACAGGAAGCTAGATAATTCATCTGTATTTTTGGAAGTGTGAATAATTATTAAACTGAACTAGCAAACTATATGGAGTAAGACCCCGAAACTGGAAGATCGAAGACCTGAAAGCAGAGATGATCACTTGTGAAAATATTCTTATCTGGGCTGTTCATTGGCAAGAGTTTAGGGTTAGCTGGGCTGCAACTGCTTTAAAAGACAGCTGATCAAAAGGAGAGCTGTAGAAGCACAGAATACTTGAGCGCCTTCTCAGAGCTGCTGTTTGGCTTCTTTTGTTGGCAGCTGTGGCAGGGGAAATACTGGCAGCAGATTTAAGATGATATTAATTTCTCATGGAAATACCATGTTTACCTGATTGCAAAAGAGGGGAACAGATAGGAGAATAGGAGTTTATGAAGCGTATATCCTGAGTCCACAGAACACAGAATAGCTGAGGTTAGAAAGGACCTCTGGAGACAGTCTAGTCCAATAGCCTCCCCTCAAAGCAGGTTGCTCAGGGCCATGTCCAGACTGTTCGTGATAATCTCCAAGATGGAGACTCCAGCCTCTCTAGGCAAACCTGTTTCAGTGTTTGACCTCTGTTACAGTATTAAAAAAAAAATAATAATTTGTTTACATGGAATTTTCTGTATTTCAGTTTGTGCCCATTGCCTATTGTTGTTTTACTGGGCACTGCTGAGAGTAGTCTGGCTCCATCTGTACTCCCCCCATCAGGTATTTATACACATTGATAAGACTTCCCCCAAGCCTTTTCTTCTCAAGGTTAAACAATCCCAGCTCTCTCAGCTTCTCTTCATATGTCAGATGCTCCAATCTGTGAGTAATCTCTGTGGCCTTCTGCTGTACTCACTCCAATATGTCCATGTTTCTCTTGTACTGGAGGTCCAGAACTGGACACAGCACTTCGGATGGGTCTAATTCATGCTGAGTAGAGGGGAAGGATCACCTTCCTTGACATGCTGGCAGTGGTTTTCCTAACACAGCCCAGGGTGCTGTTGGTCGCCTTTCCTGCAAGGGTACATTGCTGTCTGATGGGCAACTTGTCCACCAGGACCTCCAGGTTCTATTCTGCAAAGCTGCTTTCCAAGCTGTTGGTCTCCAGCATGTACTGATGCATGTGGTTGTTCCTTCCCAAGTGCAGGGATTGGCATTTCCCTTTGTCAAATTTCATGAGGTTCTTGTTTGTCCATTTCTTCAGCCTATGAGGTCCTTATGAATGGCAACACAACCATCTAGCATATTAACAACTCCTCCCAGTTTTGTATTGTCTGCAAACTTTGGAGGGGCACTCCGACCCGTCATGTAGGTCACTAATGAAGATGTCAAACAGTTTAGGTCAACTTCTTTTCCCACTGAAGCAGAAAAGGTGCAAGATTAATTTTTTGCATAACTGGTTGCACTACTTTATTTTTTCCCCTTTTTATAAGCTTCACTGTAAGTTGTTCTTGAACATAGTGTTGTACTTTGATACTATGAGCTACAGAGTACTTTTGTCAAAACTTTGAACATACAGCAGCAAAAGCTGCTCAGTGAAAGCTGTTCAGGCAGAACTTGAGGAGGACAGAAGTAACAGAACTTGCAACATCTAGTGCACTTTCAGTACATCAGTATACAAAAAAATATATGGCACTTCTAGATCATTACCCAATTTGTGAGATGTTTCTCAAGTAGAAGGTTGACACAATAAGCAAAACATGGACATTAGTAACAGTCAGCTCTGTACTAACTCTGTGTGAACACTCATATCTCACACTAAATCTGTCTTCAAACTGGGTGCTCTGACTCACCAAGTGTGCACTGAATGTCCCTACCGAGCATCCGTGTGTTGCTGAATAATGCACTTCCTGTTTTGACACATCATGTGTGCATGTCACGCTTGTTTGCTGACATCTTTTGTACTGCTGCTGTTCTTCTGCACTGGGCTCTGTGTGCCGCTGCGTTTTAAGAAAAATCTGATACTGTGGGACTTCAGAAGAAGCTTGACATTGGAAAGCAGCTAAAGTAGGAGTTGGCTCCTGTGGGGATTGGTCTCTTTTCCACCCCTGCCCACGCCCTGTAAAACGCATTTTAAAGTGATTAATGAAGGAAGAAAACACAGTAAAAGGCAATAAGTAACAGTGTGGCCATGAGATAGAGATGTTTGATTATCAGTACTCCATTGTGCCTGTAGAAAAATAGTTCAAGAAAAATACTCTCAAACATTTTACAGAAGACTTCCTGTTAGTATCTTCAAAGTGAATACTTATCTGATGTTGCAATTCACAGTTGCAGCATACTCGATTTGTAGTGTTTTCACAGGACAGTGCCCTATGATCTTGTGAGTTTGGTTTGTGTATGTTTTCTGGTATAGAAATAATGTTTGTATGGTAGCTAACATGTTGGGGTCTTTAAATGTTGACATAAAGCAAGAATATCTGTGAAATATTTGATTCTTTGCATAGTGAATGTTTTTCAAGAGCTGGGAAACAGGAATAAAGATGAGCTTCAAGCATTTGCTAGATACTGTAATAGGAGGAAAACACTTCACAACTTAGTGTGATAGGAGTGGAGCTCTTACTGGATGTTATGGACCACCCAGTGTCAATTTTTCTTATCTCTCTAAACCTCTTCCCACGGTCTTTCATTTCAGTAGTTCCTATATTGATCAGCATAATAGTGCACCTTTTGGGCCCATAGATTTAGGAAAGTACTGTTTTGGCAGATGGGTATTTTATATAAGGGCATGCTGGCAAAATCCATCAGTCCTTGTAAACTTAAGAAACTGCCTTCATTGTACACTTGGCCTCCCATAGCTTACAGCCTGAAGAAACACTATATCGGAAGTATTTGCTAACCCAGAATGTGAAAGATGCTGTATTACTTGATTGCTTACAATACATTATTGTTTATTTAAATAAAGCAAGTTTTTGTTAGGATATCTTTATTATGATAGCCAGTAATATAACGGCTTCACAACCTGCTTTTGATTCACCTCAGCTTTTTTTAAGTGCTCTGTGGATTACCTGGAGTTGTAAACTAGTGAGAACTAAAGTAAAACAGATAATATATTGAGTAGAACTTTGGTCATTCATATATTCTGATATAGGTCTGCTGAATCAATAATCCTTAATTATTTGTCTTGGGAGAAATGCTGTCACTTCAGCTGGGATAGGTTATTTTGGGAGCAATCTGATTGGAAATGGGATCTGTAGCCTAAAGGCTCCAGCCAGTATCACGGTGTCTGGACTCTGCAAACACACAGGAGGACTGTGATTAAAATGAGCAAATATTTGGAGAAGAAAGAAAGATCAAAACAAATGAAGGGACTTGCTCAGGACATAAACCTGCTGTGTGACCTTAGCTTAGCAACTCAACCGTTTCTTTGGACAGGGAGGAATGCTTAGGTTTTTGATAGTACACAAATATTTCTACTAAAAGGGGAAAAGCGAAGAAATTTCTTTTGAGGCGTGAGTCCAAGATGGCAGCTAAGAACAAGTGTAGTGAAAATGACTGGTCTCTGATGTCTGTAGTGTGGCTCTAGATAGGACTCTAAAATGGCTGTCAATTTGCTTACATAAGGATGCAAGACAGTTTTATATAACTGTAGGATGGCTTTGTAAAGCACTTGATTTTGTTGTTGGACACCTTGTTCAAAAGTTCATAATGTATTCAGTAATAAGTTACTAGCAGTCTGTGTGAAAGGATAATATTTTGAAGGATTATAATTGCTTCTGTTGAGTAAGTATGTGTGTAGCAGATGGATAGTCCAAGAATTTTCATTGCTAATTCTCTCCTGTATTCAAGGAGCAGCTTTGAATATTATAATGATATTTTCTTTCTAGACACAGCTGCTCTAGAATACGCAGTACTGTCTTCCGGAGTTGTAAAACTGACATGTTTTTAACTAAGGGAAACTACTAGGCTTTACGCTTCAAAAACATTGAAACTGTTTTTTAAAAGAACTATTTTCTTTAAAATCCAAATGATTGGTTTAGGCTTATGAAATTATTTTGTCTGTTTTGATCTGTATCTCTTCAAGAGTTTATATTAATGCTTGTACCTAATTAAACCTAACCTAAATCTAGCCATTATTCTAAGCCTCTCATTCCTGAAATATTACTACTTCTCCTTTCTTTAACTTTCTTTTCCTTTTCTGATTTTGCCTAGAACAAGGAAAAAATATTACTATTTCAAGGGATTGATAAGAGCTACACATCAGAAGAATTCATTCTTTAAACAAGTGGTGATATAATTTACATTTTGGATGAGTTCAGTGACAAGTAATGATGCTGACTCAGTTCTGAAATAATCCAAGAGTTATAGAGGAAGTGTATAAAAATACAGAATTTCAGTAATTCTGTATGAAAATGCTTAATTGTTACTGGTTTGAGGGAAAATTTGCAATAATTTATTGTACCCTGCCTCATTTTTCAAATGGCATCATGTATAATAGATGTCCTCTACTTTTCTGTTTTGTTGAAGGTGAGCATGGTGATCTAATTCAGTCTCAAGGAAACAGCTTAATGCTCAAAGGTGTTTCTTGCTGGGTTCACCTCTTCTCTTGACACCGTTTGTTTATTAAAACTATTTAGGAGATATTCCCATACTTCCTCTTTCCTCTTGCATAAAGTAGAGCTATGTTGTCTTTGCTTCTGTTTCGTTGAAAGACAGTTTCATCACTGCACTTCTCACTTTCTTTTCCCTACCTATCTGTGGCTAGGCTTAATTTGATATAAGGGCACAGTATATGGCATTTGAAAAAGCTTATTTATACCTCAGAAAGTCTTCAACTGAATTATCTTGGAGACCTGTAGATTCATAGAAATCTCTGGTGCTTTTCAGGTGTTATAAGCTAACACAATTGAGGAGAGGAAGCACATCATTTTTCTGACCCTTGAAAGGAGAGCATAGTTCTGTAATGGTTCCCCCCACCTAATCTGGTAGGACTCTTTTATTTTATTTTTCTTGAAACTCTTTTTCTTCCCTTCCCACTCTGACTTCATATTCCTGAAAAGATTTTTTTAAAATCCATTTCAAAATCCCTCCTGCCCATGATTCAGGACATTTGAAAAAATACACAACGTAGGTACGTGTTTAAAAAATTCTACACTTTATGTGGCAAGGGGTTGCTTTCAGCTGTGAGACTATAACATTAAAGAAGGATGATTCACACCAACATCAGTAAAATCAGGATATATATTTAAAACTTCCCTGCATGTGAGTTGGTACTGCTGTCAAGTTAGACCTGATTAACTTCCTTCTCCCAAATACAGGAGGAAAGTGGATGTTCTTTTACAGAATTGCAAACCTATGTAAAAGATGCTTGTTTCTGTTGTCTGTACTGGTTTCTGTGAAAATCAGTTTTTAGAAAATAAGCCTTTGAAAATTCCTGTCATCAGGAGGCTGGGGAATGATTCACGATCTTACTTTCACCACCAAGTAATTCTTCCTTCAATTGTGATGACTTTTTTGAAGTATCACTCTTACTCTATATATAATTTCCAACAACCAAATGATAGCTATGCAAACTGTTTTTTGCTTTCTATTTCTTTCTGCTACATCTGAACTAGTTTCCTGTATGTGGTCACTGGGGGGTAGAAACTCTTTTTGATTAATGTTGTGGTCTGAAAGAGATTGGGTTTTAGTTTCCATTTTTATTTGGAATTCTTTAGCTTATGTTATAGGATGTGACCAGATCAGTTTGAGAACTGGTGTGCTAAAGGTTGAGTGTAAGGCTAAAGACTCGTGGGAGGATAAAGGCTTACATTTTTCACAAAACTTTAATTAGAAAGAAACATATGCAATTCAATCTTTCAGTATTACTGTGTACCAGTTAGGAAAACTTGTGGGCAGCATCAGGCTGGTATTTGAAGTTTCACGCAGTAGCCATTACACTTTGGCCATAACATCCTACACCTCTAAAGGAGCAGAAATGCAGGATGTAACACTTTCTATAAATAAGCTTATTTGGCTTAGGGAGAAACCCTTTCTCCTGTGGCCAGTCCTCCCCTTAATTTTCTGGAAATTCTCTGATAAATGCTGGTAAACACATTTTTCCTGAAGCAGTCTGAGGATTTTTTTTGATAGCTATGGAAGACAGACAAGGTAGAAGACTTTGTTTCAGTGCTTCTACTTTCTGAAGTAAAATTTTAGTGAGATTCTGAATACATGTAATTGATTTCTCTTCCAACCGATGGCTTATTGATGCAGAAATACTATCCTGACTAATCAAAGATGGAATAATGTACATCAGTTAATGTGACTTTTAAAAAGGAAAGTCGTGCCATGCAAAGATACTGGACTTCGATGTTTAGAAAAAAAAAAGGAGGTAATGGTGGATTTAGTTGATTGCTTATTCGTATTACTGAATGTTTTTTGGAAATACCCCTTACTAGGAACTCTTGAAAGAAAAGACAGAAGTCTGTATGTGGATAGGTAACTGGGCAAGATAAGAAATGAACATCAAGATTTAGTAGCCAGCCTCTGTAATGGAAGAAGGTTAGTGTTAGGGTTCTGCTGGCATCTCTGCCAGTACTGCTGATAATCAGCTGCTTGAACAGCCTGGAGAAGAGAGTGAGTGCTGAGATGATCTGGTTTCCTTGATGATACTAAGATAATCGAGGTATTACAGATACAACCCAAGTATGAAGCATTAGAGAAGAATGAGAGACTGAATGGCTATTAAAGTAGTAGGTGAAATTCAAAATAGACAAGTGTAGTGTGATACAATTTTTAGGTACGGTGGAAAGAAAAACAATCCTAATCTTATATATGCAATAACTGAGTTGGAAATTACCATCATTGCTCAGTGGGATCTTGGGGTTATAGTGAACGTTTTCTGGGAATGGTCAGGTTAATGTTGACAAACGTAGGACAAAAGTGTTGGGAAGAATGGAGAACCTCATTACGTAGCAATGAAAATACATGGTTTCTTCTCAAGTAGTACGAGTTACTCTTATTTTCTCCCTTCCCTTATCCTGAAAAAAAGATGTAGTAGAACTGGAAAATGTCTACAGAAGGGCAAGAATGATTAGAGAGATGGAAAGACTGTCTTCAAAGAGTGGTTTAGAAAGAGCCTCTTCAATCTCAAGAGACATGAGAGGCATAGAAGAGAGTGAATTTTCCCTTTTTTCTTCCAAAACAAGAACAAAAGGATTTCAAATCAGGCTAGCGGTTGACAAGGCAAAACCAAGAGTGTTTCTTCACACAGTGCATTAGGCTGTGAAATGTCTCACCACAGGATGTTGCAGTGCTAGAATTCTACAGGTCAACAACAACCAGCAGAGCTCATGGATAAGAAACACCCTGTGGTGTTTCTGCTATAAAACCCCCACCTCTGGCTCAAGAAGCCCAAAGAGACTATTTGGGATTAGTAACTTTATGTTCTTGCCTTTTTTTCAAGTGCCGTCCCCTTTCTGGATGTTGTCAGAGAAAGGATAGTGACAGAGGAGGGACTTTTGGTCTTACCTAGTATGGCCATTCATATCTTCATATGGAGATGAATTTGGTGTCTAAATTAGTAATGGGGATCTATGATCCAGTCTCTAGATGAATTCATAAAATTAAAGTAGCGAAGGACCTCTGCAGACTGTGTAGTTCAGGCTTCTGCTTGAACCTGGGCTAACTTCAAAGCTAATTTGAGTTGCTCAGGGTCCTGCCTAGCTCTGAAAGTTTCCAAGGGTGGAGATTCCACCACCTTTCTGGACTGCTGTTTCAGTGCTTACCAACTCTTCTGGTTAAAATATGTTTTTCCGTATGGTCAGCTGGAATTTTCTTTGCTTCCAGTTGTCAACTCTGCCTCCTTCCTTTTTGCTCTGTAACTCTGAGAAAAGTCTGGCTAGCTCTTATCTATGACCTTCACCTTTAGGTAGTGGAAGACTTCTATCAGACTGTGCTGCTCCCAGCTCCCTGTAGCCTTCTCTGCTGCAAGTGAAACAAGCCTGCCCTTCTCAGCCTCTCTTTGCATTTTGTATCCTCTAACCATTGTGGTGGTTGCTTTCCAGACTCTCCAGTTTGTCAGCATGTCTTCTTTGATGGGGGTGGGGAGTGACCTGAAAACCAGACTCGGTGTTCCAGATAAGTCTGCATGAGCGCTGAGCATAAAGAACAATCACTCCTCTCAACCCACTGCCTTTAATCTTGCTAATGCAGCCTGGTATGTGGTTAACTTTCATTGCCGTAAGAGTCTGTTGCCGACTCCTGTCCAACCTGCTGTCCATCAGAACCTCTACATCTTTTTCTGCAGAAGTGGTCCTAGCCAGTTATTCCACAGCCTGTGCTAATGGATGAGTGGTTTTGTGCCAGGTGCAGGGCTCTGGTTTTTGCCTTGATTACATTTCCTAAAGTTCTTGGTCTGTTTCTCCAGCTTGTCATTTCTTCTGAATGGCAGCTCTGCGACCCAGCATTATCAAGCACTCCACCAGTTTGTTGTCCTCTGTGAGCTTTCTGATTGTGTGTTCTGTTCCATAGTGCATGGTTGAAGAAGACGTGTATGTTGGAGCTGATAACATTCCTCAGGAGTCAAGCAGTACTTGTAATTGGCCACCAGGTAGCTTTTGAACCACTGACCATTATTCTTTGAGCCTGGCTGTCCAGTCTGTCCCTAACCCGTGTTGTATTCCAGCCGTTCAGTCCACATCTCCCCAGTTTGGCTACAAGGGTACTGTGGGAGACAAAGTCAAAAACCTTGCTAAACTTAGTATGAAAGCCTGCCAGTGCGCTCCTCTCATTCAGAGGTGTAGTCATTTCATCACTGAAAGCAGTGTTGTCAAGCTTGATTTGCTTATGGCAAATCGAGGCTGTCAACTGTATGAGCCTGGAAATGGCTTCCCTCTGAAATTTTTTTTGCCATAATTTTCCCAAGAACTGAGGTGAGGCAGACCAGCCTGTAGTTTCCATGATCTTCCAGGTTCTCTTTTTGGAAGAGAGGCAAGAAACTTGCCCTTTTCAGTCACTGAGGACTCTTCTTGTTCACCATGACATTTCAGAGACGATAGCAGCTTTACGGTGTCGTTGGTGAGCTCCCTCCCTTCTTGTATATCTTCAGCTTGCTTTAGACTTCTCGTGTGAATAGTACCTCTCTCCCCAGACTCAGTTGCTCATACACTATCAGGAAGGCTTAGGAGAAGACCTTACCAGTAAAGACAAAGAAGGCATTTAGAACTGAGACTTTCTGTTGTCCTTTGTTGCTAGGTCACAAACTCAATTCTGTAGATGCTTTTCTTCATCTTCCTTATGCTGCTCATCTGTCTATAAAGCCCTTGCAATTAGAATTGCTTATTAGTTTGAACTTGAGTTGAATAAAGTGGATGTATATGTTGGCCATGATGGTAACAAGTGCTGGATTTCTAGCTGTGACTCAGAATGCTTTTCCTCCATCATCGCTGGAGGACTTATAACACCTCTGCAAAGATCTTGCCATAATTAGTATTTCTTTTGTTATCTCGTACTTTCTCCCAAGCAGAAAGCCCTTCAGCAGTGTATGTATTCACTTTGTTTGGAAATCCCAGGTGCTTAATGAGTGAGGGAGTGACTGTGTCTGTCATGGAAGCTGCGAGTGTGTGTCGAGGCTAAAACATTGCCACGTTCTTGAGATGCCGTTAAGCTGCTTAGTGGAATTCAGGGTGCTAAAGCCAGCATAAGAAGTCCAGTCTGGGTGTCTGACTCCCACCAACATAAATACCATTGAGGTAGAGGAGATTTTTAAGCTTTGATCACTATCATTAATGAACTTCGATGAGGGGAAAATGATTTGCATTCTGCTCTCCCTTTCTATATTGTTAAAGGCTATAGTTGGTATGTTCTCACGGCATGTTTTTTAAAGCCAATTTTCTCTGAGCCTGTAGAGAAAAGCATTGGCTGAGGTGAGAGTACTTATTGGCAGTCTGTTTCTACAAATTCGATTTATGGATGGAGTACTAAGTGTGTGCACGTAGATACATAAGAAGAAAAGAAAAATTAAGAATCTTATTAAAGTATTGATAATGAATGTAAAAACAAAGGTAGATACGCATTGTGGGATGCTGTGTAGAGGATTGACTAGCTTAACTTGATATTACTTGTATTTCTTTAAAGATTTTTTTACAGATGGATAATAAACACTTGGGAAGTATGTACAGTTTGCCAACCATCAGGATACAATATATGCAAGCATTTAATACTGGTTTTTTCTAGTTTTAATACGTATTCAGAAAAATCAAGAAAATGGTATTGCTTCGTAAATGAATGGCTTATTGAAAAATTTATTTTGATGGAAACATATTTAGTAGATAACGTCACTATATTTAAGGGTATTTCAAGTTAAATTTGATGCAGCTTATTAAAAGAAATATTACCTACAGTTGCACAATTTGAACAGTTTTAGCTACTTCATGATTTTAGAACTAGTCAGTCTTGCCTTGGCACCTTATTAGCATTCATGGGCTAGAAGAGGACTGTGTTTGGGCTGAAGGCCAGAGAGTTAACATCACAGTTGAGTTCCTAAGTGTAAGCTTAAAAACTGCCTCTGATATTCTTAGCTCTGCTGTTTTCTACTCCCTCCCCTCAACTGAACAACCAAGGTATAGCTCTCATGGCAGTTCTTCCTCCTCCAGTTCAAGCTTTTAGACCGAGGAGGATCCTCTCCTAAGTCTTGTCTCCTTAGCTAGAGGTTGTTGGAGCATGTTCTGGGACAGCACACCAGAGTTCTCTGGCTTTCTAAAACCAGAGTGAAGTAACTCCTGAAATAAAGAAAATACTTGGATCGGGTTATTCAGTTGTCTCTGCTGCTCTGTTAGCACTTAGCACCTGGCAACAGTCATATGCTACGCTTGCAGAAGCCTCCAGCCAAGCAGACTTTCCTTCACATTGCAGTAGCAAAATTTTGATCTTGGAAAAACTTGTGTTGCTGTACTTCTCCCCCTTGTATAGGCTGTTCTAACTTAAGTCAACTTCCTTTTCATTAGGTTTAAGTTTGACCTGGTTTAGTACATGCTGAAGTTGAATAATGTGTCTGCAGCTGTGGAAGCTGATGAACAAAAGAAGCAGAATCTATTTAGTGACACTGGATTTAAATGTGCTGCCCACTAATACTTTACATCTCTCCTTTGTATCCTCTTCTATGCTTACGGCATGAGCCAACTGAGGTGTGGCTTTTCAAGCTCTAATGAGTAGGACAAGTTGGTATTGTGCTTTTACAGAATACATTCTGGTTGGTTCTTGCTGCTTTATTTCAAATTTTTTCAGTGTTTAGTAGCTGGTTATCCTTTTTTTCCTTAAGGTAATGCTTCCCTAGTCTGAGTTCTATAGGCCACTCTTGTCCTTAAAGAATAACTGTAATCCAGGCTTGGTCACAGAATGGTACTGGCAGTAAAAATTCAGTCTCTAATAGGCTTGTGGCAGCTAATGATAAGTAAATTTTGCAGCTGTATCTTGGTCAAAAAAGTTTGGTGTTCACTGTTTTATAACTATGGTACCTGAAAATTAAAGTGAACCATAGTTAAGAATTTTTAGAACTACATTTTCCAGAGCATTGTTTTGTTATGTTTTCCTTCCATTTACTTTCATTATTGGAGAAAAAAATAAACTTATTGGTACAGTGCCTGTAACTTTTGAAGAGTTCTGTGGTAAAGCAAACCAGTACTGGGAAACAGAGTCTCTTTTGGAGCATAGGAACTGTATGAGTAACAAAAGAACCAGCTGATCAAGATGCAGAATCTAGATAAGATGCTTTCTCAGTAAGGAATTTAGCGGTTGCAATTTCTAAATTTTGGCATTCATAGACTCTCGTCCTGTAACGTAAGTGTAAAAGCTGTACCTGGATACAATTTACAAATATTCTCTAAAAACTGCTGGGTCTATGGTAGGAAACAAGTGCCTATGCAAATTATGAAAAACTCTAGTAAGAGTATTTACTGTCAGTTTCAGTGGTGCAAATAATTTCCTTGTACCTTTAAAGTCATTTCCCTTGTTATGGTACACTAAAATTATGTTTAGCAATATATTTATTTGTATTTACTTTCAGAGTTTATAGTAAAACAGTTCAACTCTTAGCCTCTTCCACACAGGATGTTCAGATCTTTTTTTGGGGAGGAAAAAAATATATGGATAAAACAAGATTCAAAAACCTATTGCACCTAGACACGATATAAAGATGCCAGCTGAAATTGAAAGTCCAATTGTTCTAAAAGTCATATGAACACAGACTGTGCCAGAAATTAGCATGCTAAAGAGATGGAGCATGGGAAACAGGAAGTGTTATTGCTCTTGTGTGCAGATAAGAAACTAGGAAAAAGGGAGATTAAAGCTAAGCTTTTTTCAAACTGACTAGATCTGTGTGTCTAGTTCAACTGACTGCTCAAAACTTAACAAAACCACTCTTCGTAGTCAAACAGATACCTCAAATCAATAGTAGCTTCTGAAAGTCTTGATTGATGTAGCTTTTCAGTGTGGTGTGGAAAGCTGATTAGCAAAGTACTTGCAGAAATTAAATTCAGTAGATGCAAGTAACTGAAGGAAACATGTTTTTCAATGAATAGTAAGAAAAATGCGGGGGGCGGGGGGGGGGAAGGGAAGAAGTTGTCTTAATGCTGTCTGGCATCAAGTCTTGGAGTTGGAAACAAGCTTCCATGTTCAAAAGCATGAGATGTCAAAATAGTGGCCCCCCAAAACACACGTTCTATCTATGGGGCCTTAAAACCATTTATCTTCTTTTGTGGAAACGGAGAAGAGAAATAAGATAAGGGCTAAAGATGGAATAAAAAATGGTTATATAGACAATTAAGTAGGTGTTGAAGCCTATTAATTGTGATGTCTTATGTGGTTTGAGTTTGGGGGGGTGCAGTGCTGGGATTTTAGGGGAGGATATATAAGGAAAATAATTGTTTTAGCTTGATACTTCCTGTGGTAAAGGCTTGTTCTGTCATTTGTTTAGGTCTTAGTTTGAGATGCCAAAAAGCATTAAATAGATCATTCCGGTCTTTCTGAGAGGAAGAGGAGCCCTTTCATATCTTATCAGGAGTATCCTTGTGTTATACTTGTACTGCAAATAAGAACAACTTATTGTAGGTCATACAAAGTCTTGGAAAGCAAGTACTTTGGCTCATCTTCCTTAGTCTGAACCTAAACTGTTTCTCAGTGCATCTCTAATTTGTGAATTGCAATGGTTATGTAGTAACCTCTCTCTGAATAGAGCCCAAAAGGAAAGTGGACCCTGGGGATACTTTCTTGCATGCAAATGATTAGAAGGAAGAAAATGGAGGCAATCTTGATATAATTGATTAGAAGTGATATACTTGAAAGATTTGTAATCAAACATATACGTGATATGTACCAAACAGAACACTGATTTGCGTTTCCTGTTTTACCTTTAATATGTGTAATCTGGTTGCTAGCTAAATTATGCCTTTGATTAATGGAAAAGCAATCAAGATTATTGTAACTACCTGAAAGAACTTCTCATGGACTTCTTCAAGATAAAAGATATGGATGAATTAAGCGTATAACACTGGCATGCTTTTAGTTCTAAAAGTCCTGTTTCTGTGAAGTAATAGACTTCCTGTCTAAATTGCTTATGCTGTCACTGTAGTGGAAGCAACATGGTGGGAGCAGCTTAACATTTACTATAAGCTTCCCCCAAATCATTCAGTACCCTAAAATTTGACCAGGCTGTAGACTACTCCCACGTATGTTTTTAATGGCCATCAGTAGCAGTTTTGATATGGCTGTCCCATGAAGGCATGGGACAAGTAGGACAGGAGACCTCCAAGGCTGGTTAGTCTCTAAGCCAAGGAGTGGAGTCTTAGAAGAATTTAACAAACTTCGTCATACAGTGTAGGCTTTTTTCACCAACAGAAAACTTACATGGAGTTTCTCTTAGCATTCATTGTAGTCCTACTGGAGTTAATATTAAAAAGTATTAAAAAATAGGTAGGAGACCTATTAGATTTCCTGAATAACCATTGGTATACTATGTATACATTTTTTGGGAGCCAATATGTGTTATACATGCTTTCGCAACCATAACTTTCTCTTTTGTGAACTCCTGAAGGAAAGAAAAGTAAACTTAAAAAGCCGTGTTCTGAAGGGTGATCTCTTAGTTGTAGTTAACTTGTAGCTTTCCTTTTTTAGATACACATTTGTCTTTGCTTTCTGTTCTCCCTGAACTGTTTCCATCAGTGCTTGCTACAGTCAAAGCAGGATAGGTGAAATTGGTATCAGAAGAATCTACCAGCTTTTATTTCTTGTCACTGTTTTTTCATAATCTTTGAAGTGTTAGCGCATTTCTGAGAGGGCTTAAATAAGGGCTTTGATATGAGAACTCAAGTTCAACTAATGACCTCTAGTGTCCTGGAACCTAGGTGTTCTTCTGACTGCATCAGATAAAATCATCAGTCTCTAAACTCTAGGAGACCTGACTTTTTTTTAACAGAAATTGTAATGACTTTATACTTCTCATTTAGGTGCCATATGAAACACTGAACAAACGGTTTCGAGCTGCACAGAAAAACATTGATCGAGAGACTAGCCACGTTACAATGGTTGTGGCAGAGCTGGAGAAGACGCTGAGCAGTTGTCCTGCTGTGGATTCAGTCGTTAGTCTCCTGGATGGAGTAGTTGAAAAACTCAGTGTTCTGAAACGGAAGGTAAGTGCTGTTCTACCTTATGATTGCTTTGTCTTTGCGAAGTTAACAGAAGTCGTTTTCTGCAATGCTGATTGCTTGAATTTTCTTTTCAAGATATAGGTATTAATGGCACTGTAAACAAAGGCCTTAGAATGCAGAGCAAACCACCAAAACTTACTGTATCTTCCTTCACTGTGCTTATGAAATATGACTTGGTGTTCCATGATTAAGTATAACAAACCTCTGTTGAGAGGTAAAATTAATATGTATTTATAGTCCTGAAAAGGAATTCCTCTACCCGTGGAAAAGAAATAGCAGCAAAATGAATTGATTTCTATCAATTCCTGCTTGTCTATTGGAAAGATTTGTGCAGTTGCATTAATTGACCGCTTGAGGGGGGGAAAACAGGTAGGAGATGAGTCTGAAAAACGTTGAAACCCCAGTGGGGGTAGTTGTATGCGGTATTGAGGCTTCTTTGCAGAAGAAAGCGTGAGTTGTCCTGAATTGCTGCTTGAACATTTTTTTATAAACACTAAACTTGCAGGTTGGAAGGTTCCTAGGGAAAATTACTAAAAGCATTTTAAATAAAGTTTAGCAAGATAACCTGCTTCTAGCTGTTAAGCTTGAATGCTTGTATGAAATACAGCCAAACTTTCATGCCTTTACTACCTCTTGAGGGTGCTCACAAGGCATGTATGGGGACAACCAGGTTAAATAAAGTTTAGCAAGATAACCTGCTTCTAGCTGTTAAGCTTGAATGCTTGTATGAAATACAGCCAAACTTTCATGCCTTTACTACCTCTTGAGGGTGCTCACAAGGCATGTATGGGGACAACCAGGGGATCAGGTCCAGCCAGCACGGATTCATGAAAGGCAGGTCCTGCTTGACCAACCTGATCTCCTTCTATGACCAGGTGACCCACCTAGTGGGT